GGCCAGGGCTGCAGGCACCTGTCCTTGGCCAGTGTGTTGGGAGTTAAGCCGACTAGACCCTCCCAGTACTTCTCAGTGTTCAGGGATGACTTGGGTTAGATAGAAACTGTCAGATGACTTTGATGGAGAGAGCACTATGGTGGGTGCTGTCCCCTTAGAAAAGGCCTCTGGCTAGAGCCGACAGGTCTTCAGAGCCCCAGGTTAGCACACTGGTCCCCCAAGTCCTGCAGAGATGCCCCAGGAGAGGGCTAGATGCTCAAGCTCTCAGTTCTCAAATGAACAGGGATTTGGACCAGGAGAGGGTACCATTTTGCTGTATGCAGTGCACTGGGGCTGTGTGGCATCCAGGGCTCACCAATGCCACTTGTAATAAAATCTGTTGGTGCAGAGCCACTAAATATGCAAATGAAGCTTCTGATGGTTTCTGTCTCCATCACCAGTGCACTGTGGTGTGCAGGCTGTGATTCTGTGTGAGAGAGATTTATTGAGTACCTGGGCTCTGGAGAACACGGTCCAAGAGGCAAGGTATGGGTTGATGCTAAGGAAGATTGGTAGTTCCGACCAAGCATCACTTCCCACCTTTATTCTGTCTTTCCCTCATTTGCTCATGTGAGCAGGCTTGAGAAAGACAGGACAGCCCTTCCCTTCTCCAGCTTCTTTCCTTTCCACCTCTCAGGTATTTGCTCGATGTACACACTATCCCAGGGGGTGGAAGGTCAGAAGCAATCATACATTCACAAGGTAGGGGCAGGAGCCTCAGTGAGTCTGTGTGAGCTGCTCAGGTGAGCCAGTGGGCCTGGCTTTGACTCTATAACTTGACTCTTCTAGACCCCAGGTCTGTTTTTAGGCAGATGAAAGCAGCCACATTGTCTCTGGGAGAATGGTTAAGTTCATGTGAAATCACTCTTCAAGCTGCATTTCAAATATTGATCATTTTTTACTAGTATAATTAAGACTGGTTTGCAGCTCTTTGGTCTTTTAAACTAATGCCCAGATTTTTCTTGTTTGTTTTTAATTGCTTACTCGTCTATCCATCCATGTGAGAAGGTGTTTAGAATGTCTGTGGAGAGACTAGTGCTCTGCCAGATATTGGAAATGGGAAGCCAAGATAGGCCACTCAGAGAGGGTGTCATGGGCGGACACCTAGCAGCATCATGGTGACTGTAGGTGTTACTCTCAAAAACAGGAGAATAAGCAAAGTACACAGAGAGAGGGGTTCTGGTGTGGGTACAGTGACAGATTGGGGGGCTTCATGACTCATAATGCATTTCCTGTCCTGGGGAATATGACCTTACTGCTCATTTTTCCATGGGACAGAATTAGCTCTTGGACAAGCAGGATGGCTCATACCTATAGTCAAGCATTTACAAGGTTGAAAGGCAGGAGGTTCCCTATAAGTCTGAGGCTAATCCAGGATTCATAATGAGTTCCAGACCAGCCCGGGGTTCCATATCTAAAGACCAAAACAGTGAGTTAATAAAAATAAAAACAAATAGATAATTAAAATAAAATTAAATGACAGATCGTGAACTCCAGGCCTTGTGGGGCCATCTAATTTTGATGGATACATTGAAATCCCAAATCAGGTTAGGATGTCCAAATTTACTTTGTAATAACGACTCAAATAAAAAAAGGGAAAAAATCCCATTAAAAGCACAACAATGGAATTCTGGTTGTCTAATTTTCCAACTGAAGCCACAGGGTAAAAGCTCCCAAGTTAGAACCTATGGCTCCCTGTGGAACATTTAGCTATGATTAATCACTGTGAAATTTATGAGCCAGGGTCCTGTCACAGTTAGTCAAACAAACTTTCCATCATACTTATGGCCTGAAAACACAGCTCCAGATAGTGACCTCAAAGCCACCTTGAGCTGATGCTGCCCTAGTGGTGTGGGGTCCAGACTGGGCAAGCGGAGTTGCAGCCTAGCTGCTCTGAGCCTTGGGGACACTAGCTTCTACCCCTCAAAAGGCCTCTCTGTGGAGAAGGGAAATAGAGCTCACAGTCCTGTGAGCCAGCCTCATGCTCTATGCCAGCCAATAACCCCAAGCAGCCAACATATGGCCTGTCACAGGAGGCCACATCTTACTGCTTGTGAAATTAAACATGGATGTTGAGTTGTTACAGGTGTTGGCTATAGACATCAAGACAGTGTCTCTGGTGACTTGGGTATGGATCTGGTTACTTTCCCCACAGTTGTGACAAGATCCCTGACACAGGCAACTTAAGGAGGAAAGAGTTTATGACTCATAGTTCCAGGATGACCTCCATCAGGGCAGGGAAGGCATGGCAGCAGAATAAGGTCATTTGCAGCTGCAGTCAGGAAGCAGAGGGCGATGAATGCAGATGTTCTTTCTCCCTGCTGTCCACTAGGGAACCCGTAGGATAGGACTGCCCACATTCCTCTTCCTTAAACAATTCTGCAAACATCCTCATAGACACACCCAGAGGTGTGGTTCCATGCTGATTCTGAATCTGGTCAAATATATGATGAAGCTATGGGAAACAGATGATGTGTTCTATTAGTCTAGTCTGATAAACACGTGTATGGAATATTCCTTGGATGACTTCCCTGTTCCCTGGTTCCCTATGTTGGCTTTCTTATTCATTCATTAGCTCCTGCATTCTGATCAGTATGGGTTATAATAGATAAGTAAGTATGCAGATAGGTAGACAACTTGGAGAGAACATAGACATCAGGTGATGGTTAATACTGACTGTCAACTTGACCTAGGAGACAATCTCTGGGCATGTCTATGAGGGAGTTTCTATATTAGATTAATTGATGTGGGAAGACCCATCTTAAGTGCGGCCAACACCATCCTATGGGCCAGGATTCAGTATTGGATAAAAAGAGAAAATCAACTAAAAACCAGTGTTCATCTCTCTGATTCCCCACTGCAGATGCAATGTAACCAGCTGCCTCACGTTCCTGCTTTCATGACTTCCTGTAAATGGACTATGCCCCTAAACTGTGAGCCAAAAATAAACCCTTTCTTCCTTAAGTAGTTTCCTTCTCGAAGTATTTCTAGGCTCATCCTAGCTGGAACCTTGCATTAAGTACCCAGCGTGGGGCTATACGATCCCAGAGACAGAAAGGAGTCTTATCTAGGGCCAAATGGAGTTCATGCCATATTTACAAGACAGCAAAGTAAGCCAAAGCTGTACAGCTGTATATAAGCGTTAGGAGATGTACAAAGAAAATACAAAAAGGAAGGCCATTAGACAGTGTAAAACTGTTGACAAAAATAAAACAAGCCAGGCTTTGCAAGCTGTTAGTTAGGCAGAAGGGCATGAGTGTGCTTTTTGGCTCTTTTTCAGGATAAGAAATAAATTAGGGACTATGTGGGCACTTTCCAAAGCCCTTGATTTTGTCCCCTTGTGAATTCTCAAGGTGTGCCATGGTAAACCCTTCTCTTTGCTGAATTCTTTCTTTGTGGTCTCAGGTGCCCCCAAAACCGCAACCCATTTTCTCTTGTTAAGACCGCCAGAGAGCCAGGGGTACTGTTTGCCATGGCATGGCTTAACGCTTGTCTCTCTCACTTGTTTCAAAATTTTTGGAGAAGTCCGGCCTTCCTTTGCTCTTCCTTCTTGGGGATAGGGGTCACAAATGATGACCAGGCAGAGCACATAGGCCTCTGTGGTACATGATGAGGGTAGGTGGATGTGAGTAGTGTCTGACACTTATAAAATCTGATTAAGCCTTGATTAAGCAGGGGGTGGAGAGGGAGCCACCATCAGGAGCTGTTGATGGTGCCCTTAACTATGAAGGCACTAAACAAAGGCCCTGGCCTGTGTGCCCTTTGCTGTAGATGAGCCTCCAGTCCAAATTAATTGCCTTGGATTCAAGACAGACATGGTTTATTTGGTTTGTGACTCTGAGGTCTGTTCAGTTTTATTAGCGTGATTTTTCCAGGGACTGTCACAGAAGGAGGGTTTCAGAGCACCAAAGTGTGTGACCTTTCAGTAGAGATGTTAAGAAGGGACCAGGCAACTGGTACAATACCCTTCCAGTGTCACAGCAGACCCTAAGGTCACTTTTTTCCGCTCCATCTGTGCATCAAAGAATACAAAAATCATGTGTCCTTCTGGATCAGCTAATCAAAAATTCAACTAAGACCATTCTCCTGCTTCCATGGGATGGGAAGTCACTTCTCACAGAGAGGGGGGGCTCTATCCTTTTCTCTTCTCCATATAGTGTTAAATAAGGAACATGTCTGCTATGTCTACCTTCTATTGAGCCTTGTCTACAGGACTGGCACTTCCTAGGTATTGTTTCATTTCCTCAACACAGCCAGCCTGACAAAGACCTCATGCTCTCTGGTATTCTTTGGGGAACTGGATGGGAATTGTGTGGCCAATGTGATGTGTGTAAAATCAGACAGTTAATTAGAAGACCCAGCATTTAACCCTGGGTTTCTCTGTCTGCTGAGTCCATGGTCTTGTCAAAACACCAATTTGCCTCCTTCACAGACATTCGATGGGCACCCACTGAATACAGGGCATTGGCTGTGCACAGATGCAAGAGCAACACACGCAGTGTCCTTTGCGCAATTCAGGTCTGAGTTGTCATGGTAACCTCACACGGAGCAGGGAGTGCACAGTAGGGCAGTTACAGTCCCATTCTATCTGACCTGGACTCTGTTTCCATGGCCATCACCTCACCCTGAGACCTCAGTTTCCTTCGCTGTACAAGAAGGCGACGATAACAATACACTTAGTTCTGAAGGCAGATGGCATGACACAGTGTACTCTGCCGGCTTGGGACCGAGTCGAATGCGCAGTAAGTGTCCAGGACCTTTGATGAGGGACACACTCAAGCAGCTGCTTTCAAAGACCTTAGCGTGTTCAGTAACCAATAGGCTCCTCTGTTGGAGGATAAGGTAAGTCACACCCTAAAAGCTGGAATCGAGTGGGGCTCAAAACTCAGCAGTCCGGCAGCAAGGATCCCACGGTGCCAAAGGGTCCTGGCACAGCATGGCTCTGGGTTCTTGTTTTCTAGTCATTACCATATTTAAGGGCAAAGTGGAGGAGGTGGAGCTGCCTGTGGACAAGGTAGACATCATTATCAGTGAGTGGATGGGCTACTGTCTGTTCTACGAGTCCATGCTCAACACCGTGATCTTCGCCAGGGACAAGTGGTTGGTGAGTGGTCCGCATGCTGCCCCCACATTATTTGGGTGGCTGTCTCGCCACACTTCCCATCGCCTCCCACCTGGGAGGAGCATGAGACTTCCAGAGAGGAAGGGTCTAGAAGACCACTGTCTTGTGGCCCTCTCTTCAGAGCACAGCTGCTTCAGGGGAACGAGTGGTCAACCCTGGTCCAACACGCTTAGCTGTCAGACTGTATAACCATAGCCGGTCTAACTCTGTCCCCTCTGGCTAGAGCAGCAACCCATTTTCTCTTGTTAAGACCGCCAGAGAGCCGGGGGTACTGTTTGCCAAGGCTTGGCCCGAACCACAGGCTGGCTCTCCGCCCCTCCTTGATTTGCCTTTTGCACCCCGCTTGTCCTGTCAGCTCCACCCGGGCTCCTAAGATTCCCCCAGCTTAGGATGTGTAACTGGCATGTCCAGCCAAGCTGGTCCGTCCACTAAGTGAGAGATGCTGGCAAGGGGGTGCTTGTCTGGTGACTCTATGTGCAGTTCAAAATGTGATGTCTTTGTCAGGTGAATAGATTACGAGACCCATTTCCCCACAATTCATCAACAGAAACCTGGAGGGCTTATGTTTCCAGACCGGGCAGCTTTATACGTGGTAGCAATTGAAGACAGACAGTACAAGGACTTCAAAATCCACTGTAAGTCACCTTACGGGGTTCTTTGTTGCATTTCTGTTGTGTACTGGGGGGTGAGAGAAACTTCACGGTGGACAGCTGGTGTCCTGGGAAGGTTTATCTGTGACCCCTCTGGGTTATTCTATGGAGTCTTTCTCACTATCCCCGAGAGGGGGAGGTCTACAGAGAATACGTGAACAGTGTAGCTGGTGAAAGGTAACACATCTGGGAAGTGAGAATGGACCATGGAAATGGGGTAGCAGGAGTTGTGTTTGTGCATCGAACAGCAAGGCAGGTGGCTTGTAGTGTCAGGCCAGATGTGGCAGGTCTCACATCAAGCCAACCATTTTGAAACATGCCTCCATGCCTATCAAGTTGGTCAAAATCACTACGAGTCTGTGTCACATTTGGTAAAATATGGATTCTTCTCTGAGGTTCCTTTAAGGATATGTGCGATGAGGTGGGGAGGAGTAGAGACTCTCAATCAGATAGTGTGTGTGTGAGAGAGAGAGAGTGTGTGTGTGTGTGTGTGTGTGTGTGTGTGTGTGTGTGTGTGTGTGAGTGTGTGTGACAGAGGCTCATATGTAAATATGTATCCATGATGTCTTACAAGTTAGGATAGTGTCTTCTCTCAGGCCAAATGGCTCAGTGTAGGTACATTCCTATAGCCCAACACTCCGGAGGCCAAAGTAGGAAGATAGTAAGTTTGAAGCTAGCCTGGGCTACACAGCAAGACATCCTATTTCTCTCCTTACCCAACTCCAAACAAAATCAAGTGTGGTAGCTCATTTCTGTAATCGCAGCATTTAGGAGGCTGAGACTGGAGGATTAACTCAAGTTCAATATCAGCCTGGGCTACAGAATAAGGCCCAGTCTCAAAATAAAACAAGACAAAAACAAACTAAAACAAGAAAAACATACCTTTGCCAATATTTTATCTAGCTCTAAAGGACCATTTTATTCTATTTCATTTTAAAAGTTACATTCTTAGTGGATGGGTCTGGTGTTTGGTAGAACGATATCCAGTGTATTTCTGTCAGGTGAGACATGCCCATGCCACCTGGAACTGCAGATGGCGATGGAGCAAAGAGCCCTTTAACCAATCAGCACACCAGCATTCAAAAACAGAAACAGGAGGTAGGAGCTCTTAAGATGCACAGCCACCAGTGTGTCCAGGTTCACACCCCGGGTTGCTTACTCCTGCTTGGAGAGGTGGCTGTGGAGGGTTCACACACTCTTCTGGAAGCTGAAGGTCGAAGAGTGAAGCTTGGAGTCAAAGTTCAGAAGTGGAAATGAATGAGTGCCATGAAGCTCCATGCCTTGGAGCCCTTCTAGGTCACCGTGATTGCTAATATTTGACCTCAAGAAAGGAGGACACAGGTCTCTAAATGAAAGTCAGGAGGTGTGGGGTGACTTGGGCGAACACTTTGACTCCTGCCAAGCCCAGGGTTCTAAATGTGGGCATTGCCATTCACTGACTGAGTAACCTTGAGCCTGTTACCTGACTTTGGGCCCCAGTGAGAGGTGATGCCCTCAATCCCAGTGACTTGAAAAGACTAAATCAAATGATATATGCCAAAGAACACCACTGTTTGTGGAGCGTGTAGGAATAGGCCAGGTTTAGCCTATGAGGGAGTAAACCAGCATCTTGTTCTGCTCCAGGCTCTGCAAACTTGCTAGCTGGCCTCTGGTGGCTTGGAATATGGGCCGTGCATCTCCCCATAGAAGACTGAAGAAGCCACTGAGCAGTGAACAGTAGTCAAGTGTGTGAAAATAGAATGCAGATCACCCCAGAACAATACTGTGGAGCTTGTGAGGAGTAATTGCCCTGAGCAGTGTGTGTGGAGAGAACATTCCAGCACACTCTTCACACACACACTACTTAAATATTTATCGAGCTCCTAGGAAAGCTCTTTATGGAGCTGCCTTCTAGTTTCCAGAACAAAGCCACCTCCTCCCCACTTTTCTCCCTGGAACCTGTTGGGAGCCCTTGGAGCAGGCACATTGCAATGAGCCATTCTGAACCCATTAGAAGAAAGGACAGTGGCTGCTACTTAGGGGACAGCCCAGAACTGGAGAGCATGTAATTTATTCTTGTGGTTCCTATTGCGGCCTTTACAGCTCTGGCAAAGGGAAAAGCAAATTAACACTCAAACAAACAAAAACTGAACAAAACCATAAGTCAGGCCCCATCTTTTCCTTATAAAGTATTTACCTTGGAGTATCCTTTTAAAAAGGCTGACGCTATAGTTCTGTGGTAGAGTACTTAGTTGGCTCCAACCGCCAGCACCACAGGGGGGGAAAAAAAAAGCAACATCAAACATCAAAATCCCTAAATTCCCAAAGAACAAGATTCTAACATTTATATTTTATTTAGGACACGGTTAAGTTTTCTACTTAAATGTTTTTCTTTCAAAGACACATTTTTAGCTAAAGGAAACAGGCCCATTTAGAGAAACGTGTTTGAACAACAGCTTTTGGTTGCTGGTTGCCAAGGGAACAGTTACAGGCAAATTTCAATTGGCCCAAGAACCACAGGAACAACGTGAATGTGGGGCTTGTCCAGCCCTACAGAAAGTAAACTGTTGAGGTTGAAAGCTTTCTTTCCCATCACCTGTCCCCTCTCCTGCCCCTCGCAGCCAATCTCAGCCATGAGCATACAACATAGTATAGACCCTGTCCTTTCTCTATTGTCCAGTTAAAGGGAACCTGGCTGGCAGAAAGGACCAGGTGCCTGACCTGCACTGGCTCAGGGTGTGCTTGTTTTGTTGGACAAAGCAAGGAATAACACATCAGAGAAATGTGCAGCCGTGTTTGAAAGAGGGACAATCAACAAAAGCCAGGCCCTACTGCAAAGGAGACTTACAGTCTCTAAGTTGGCTTGTATATCCCTGCCACAAATCACCCAATACTAGACTCTCCTACCTGTTGAGAAGGAAGGCCTGGTGTAGAGGCAGCTGTATTGCAGTCAGAGGGCTGCAGGCTGTCTCTCAGAGGGCTGGGGTCCACCTGGTTTTTCCACTCTCTACCCCTTACTTCCAGAGCATTGCTCTTAGACCTGTATGTTTTTATGTGAGGTCTCTTCCCCAGTGTTCACTTTGCTACTGGCAGCCTAAAACACATGAGGGCATGATAAACGCCTTCAGTTCTTTACAGTGAGGCTATACGTGGGACCCTGAGGCACCCCTGTTTTCCTCCGGAGGCATTCTGAGCCAGTAATCCTGGCCTTCGGCCCTCACAGAGAAACTCAGGTCTTTCTGGCCAGAGAGAAGAGGGTCAGGAGCTGCCCTTTCCAATGTGTATTCTGTTTGTTTCCAAGGAATTTATATTTGTTTCTTTGGTTGTTTTTGAGCTTCTTATGCATATGTCTTTCTGATATGCATCATGCATCTCTCTCTCTCTCTCTCTCTCTCTCTCTCTCTCTCTCTCTCTCTCTCTCCCCCCTCCCTCTCTCATTTTTTTTTTATTTTTCTCTGTGTGCTCTCTCTCTCTCTCTCTCTCTCTCTCTCTCTCTCTCTCCCCTCCCACTCTCAGATTTTACTTAGATTTCTCTGGATGTGTTTTCCTCATATGCATCCAGATTGGGGTTAAAATACGGCACTTGGATCTATAGGTTGATTATCTCATCCATCATCCATACAAATGTGTATGTCTCTCTGTCTCATCTTCCTCATCCTCAAGGAGTTTCATTAAAAAATGTGTTTGATATTATGCTATAGCCGTTTTTCCTCACTGTGTTTAATTTTGGGTTATTTTTATGAACCAGTTTTTAGGTTTATTATTGTTTCCTCAGTGTGTCCATCCATTCCCCTAACAGGCTGATTCCAGGAACTCTTCTCTGATAGCATGAGTCTCCTTTGGAGAATTTCATTGGCCTTTAAAGACATGTTCCTCTCTCCCTGATGAAGTCTCCTGCCCATCTGTTACATCACCTTTCCCTCCGGATTCCTTAATGTGTTTGTTGTAGTCACTCTATCGTCTCCATTGAGCAATTCCAACATCTGAGTTATGGCCCAGTCTGCCCTATTCCCTCTCTTTGGATGGTAGGTCGTATGTGTGCCCTTTTCAGTATCTTATAATTCTTCACTGCAACCAGACATTGTGTGTTAAACAGCAACACAGAGAGACAAAGGGTATTTATTCCCAGACAAGGGGCTTTTTCCTCTGATAGGCTTTTGGAATAGGGGCTTCAGTCAAACAGGCCTGCCGTCATGGGCTTTCAGGTTGCCTTAATAACATTTATTGTGATATATCACTGTCTGTTTGAGAATTAGTGTTAATGTATCACCAAAAGATTTTCAGGGCCCTCTGATGTTACTTTAGATAAATAATGGATGTTCTTCAACAGACAATGTATCCTTGCAACAGAAAATTAACATGCCTGGTTCACAGCCTCCTTTCTCTTTCACTTCCACCAAGAGAGCCCAGTGGGAAACGAATGGTGTTCTAGCATCATCTGGAATGCCTTTTAAAGTGCAGCCCCTGGGCTCTGACCAGAATCTCTAGGCAGGAGACTCAGGAGGCTGGACTTTCACAAACATGGTCATTCCATCAAGAGCTGGAAAACGTTCATGTTGCTTGATCATCTGAGATTTTTTTTCAGGTCCTAAATTGTGAACTTAAAAGTCTCATAGCATTTGTGAACCCTTTCCCAGCTACTGGGTCCCCTTCCATGTCCTTGGCACCCACAGCGTCTGGCACAGCCCAGGAGCTGCATTTTAAAAGGCATTCCAGATGATTCTAGAACACACAAACACTGAGCCGAACCCTTCCTTTCACAATAAGACTGGAGAAGAGGCTTGGTCTGCACAGGGCTGCTCAGCTTGGCGCTCAAACCACATAACGACAACTGCCACATGTTAAGGTCTTTCTTTGCACCTGGCACTGTCTCTGGCACTTTGGATATAGTGGTCCTTCAATGCTCATAAGGGCCCCAGGGAATAGCCATCATTATCACCAACAGCTCCATTTTAAAGAAAGAGACACCGAGGCTTAGAGAAACTCTAAGGCATATGAAGGCATAACTTCTTTATGCCTTCATAAAGACACACAGCAAACAAACAGAAGAGCTGATTTGCATCCCAAACACCCAGACCATCAACCATCACACATGCCATCTCTGAGGATTTTGTTGAACATTTGCATAGAGTTTTTCCTGGAGGGAGGGGTTACAGGGACTGAAAGAACGTGCGCGCGCAGCTGCGGATTTCTTAATGGAGGAGTTTAATCCTAAAGCAGCGGGCCTCAGTGCATGTGTCATCTGGGAAGAGAATGCATAGCTGCCAGATCCGACAAGGTGGTCTTCTTGTCTGTCTGTCTGTCTGTCTGTCTGTCTATCTATCTATCTATCTACCCATATATCTATTTTGGAGGCAGAGTCTTGTATAGGTAGGCTAGCTTTGAACTCACTGTATAGCTAAGGCTGGCCTTGAACTCTTGGATTTCCCACCTCTACCTCTGAGTGCTGGCATCAGAGCTGTCCACCACGCTTAGTTTTATGCAGTGCTGGAGATGGAAACCAGGCTTTCATCATGCCACACAAGCACTGTATCAGCTGAGCTGCTTCCCAGCCCCCACAATGTCAGTTTCAGCCAGGAGTTCGGGCAGCCGTCTCCTATGATTGAATGGGTCCTGCCCGGCATCTTCTCGGCAAGCAGGAACTCACCAGCCCTCGCCCTGGGGGAAATGATTGTTCTCTCTGCCTGCTTCCCTGCACCCCCACCCCCCACTCCAGAGATCTTTGTATACCTTAGAAAAGAACAGGGATTCTTTTCACTGGCCATTCACACCTCCCTCTTCCACACCCACGCTCTTCAACACACACAGGACCTGAATTCCCCAAGGCACCATTGGTGTGGTGAACACTAAAAAAAAAATTTACACTTAGTAAGATTTTAGACAAAGGCATCTTTACTTCAAAGCACTTATGAACCCTTCAGAATAAGCAGATATATAAGATCCAGCTTCCCAGGGACCAGAGCCTGCGCCCAGGCCCTCCTCTTGGGAGGGAGAACTTTGTATGCCTGGCTGTTGTTACACAGGGGCACAGCTGGAGGGTTAGGGGGACAGCTTGGCTCTTTTCCTAGCTCCATGTTGGTGTCACTGGGCTGGTGTGTGACTTTAGGTCAGGCTTTGTGTGTGAGCCAGATGCCAACTTATCCGGGCCAGTTTTCTCATCTGTAGCCTGGAGGTTGTTAGGTATCTTAGGCAAAGGTGCCTAATCCATAATAGCAGTTAGCCTCATCACTGAAGGGTTGTATTAAGCCATCAGACCCAAACTCACCAGCTCCTACACCCTAATTCTTCCTCCTCCCAAAGCATCTCATGAGTAGTCCAAGTGGCCCAGAAACTTGTAAGAATGGTTGCTTCCCCATCCCTCCCCACCCCCATAGGGTGTTATGGAGTGAACCCTCAGTGAGTGCTTTTTGCTTTTCAGACTGATGGCATGGGGGTAAGGTGAGCACCCTCTTGGACCCACCAGCTGAGCAAGCTGGGGTTCTGAGAAATCAGGGCAGGCGTCTGCCCAGTGCCCAGAGAGTAAGGTACTATGCCAGGACTCAAACCTGAGTCTGTTTCATTTATGAACCCGTGTTTCTCTCAGCTGCATTAATGGCCCCTATGGGACAGGAAGCTTGAGCAAAGGCCCAGAAACGGGAAGGTAATAAGCCTGGAAAGAGACAGCAAGCATGTGCCAGAGAAGTCAGAGGTCCTGTGTGTGTATGGGCCTTGCTGCCTTCTAGATGTGTGAACGTCCAGAAGTTTCCCAGACTCTCTGACCTCTGGCTGATCTCACAGAATGGGGCTTGCCTTTTCGAGAGGTGTGAATGACACAGCGTGAATGAGCAGTCAGTCACTGCAAGGCTCCCCTTGCAGGCCGGAGTGGTGCTTACAGTATTCTGATTGAAGGGAAGAGGGGCTTCACCCTGTACCCTTGTCTTAGGCAGACTGGACTGGAGCACCCGGGAGCTTGGGGGAGCTGGGGGTCCTACTGCCTGCCTTCATGCCTCACTCTGTTTCCTCAGGGTGGGAGAACGTCTATGGCTTTGACATGACCTGTATCCGAGATGTTGCCATGAAGGAGCCCCTGGTGGACATCGTGGACCCAAAGCAAGTGGTGACCAATGCCTGTTTAATAAAGGTCTGGAGATTCATCTGGGTTGGGCCTGGGTATGCAAAGGACCCAGCTGTGCCACTCTGGAAAGCCAAGTAATGTCAGTTCCTGCATAGCTCCCCACTGAGGAGGGCACCAAGGTCATCTTGGTCAGAGCCTGGTGACAAGTCAAAAGCTAGTGCTTTTACTAAGCAGAACTGTTGAAATGACTCCAGAGTGGCACTGCTGGAAGCGGGTCCCAAAGTGGTGGCCCTGGCAAACTGCTGGGAGGCAGGAGGAATGTGGGGACTTGGGATAGTAGGGCAATCCAGGGCTGAGTGTCCACCTTGGGATAGACCTCCTAGACCTCCAAGCACACATCAGCTTTGCATAGACAGAGCCTCCAGCCGTGTCCTGGAGCCTCCTCTTTGTCTGTCCTCTGAAATACTTTCTTGTAAGGGTTTCTTTGGTGTAGATGACTAACTAGTCAGAATCTTGAATCCATTCTTATTGTTAAATACCCAAACATAGCAAATTGCAAAGAGTAACCATAGGCATTGAACCCACTCCCACCACTTTTTCCACCCCAGCTCCTCCCAGGAGCTGCCACTGTTCAAGGCCAGTCCTCTTTCTATGTTTTATACTCCTATTGAAAGACCCCGGGATGCTCAGGCCCCCAGGATCTCAGCCCAGGACCGCAGTCACTCCAATCACCAGGCAGAGTCGAAAGCTTGATGCAAACTGCACGAGGCTTTATTGTAGTTGTTTAATGAGCTAACCCCATGTTACTCCAGTCTTTCACCCAGCCATGGCGGGTGGCTGGGAAAGACGGCTCGAAGCGTCTGCATAGAGATCTTATAGGGCAGCGTAAGGGGAGTGTCTAGGGGTACGCACAGGCTCAGGATTGGTGTGCCTCCCGGCTTGGAGGAGTTGCCCTGTGTTGATTGGTCAACTGGTTGTTATGGCCCATAGGCCCTCCCAGGGTGGTTGCCATGCTCATTGCTGTACGCTTGTCTGTAAAGCACACCCAGAGCCGTAAAGCATAGCACCACCAGCTAACTTCTGATTGGTTCCTTGCCATGAGGCAGGCATCTGACCTCCTAGTGACCAAGACAAAGTCAGGCAAGTACGTGTTTGGCTGTTATGGCTGCCGAAACGGGGAGCTGGTCCCTTCACTATGTGTTAACTTACAAATGACGTTGAAACAGATACAACTGACATGTGACTACCTCTAGTATTTTGGGTTGAAAGACATCCACTTCATAGGATGCAAGTTCATTTTCTAGTATAAACCCATGGTATAAAGCCTCCTCAGCCCACCTGTCTCTCTCATTATACTGGGGCATCCTTGTCTGCTCTGGGACTGGACTTTCTAGCAGAAGTAAGGACCAATTCGTGGCCTCCAAAGTTGAAGGGAAGTTTCTGAAAGGCTGCTGTTTGCTCACACCAAGAACCACTCCCTTTTTTTGACAACGCAGGATCCACTGCAGCCCTTGGCCCTAACCATCCCTGTTGCACTGGGAAGGGCTATTTGGGAACGGTCTCACCTGATGACCCCCACTTTGCTGCATCCTGCCTACGAGGTCTGCTTCAGATCTGAGTCTTGACTTCTGATCTCACAGCACTCCTAGCTCATTGCTTCCCTGGTGCTGGCAGGAGGAAATACTCCCACCTCTTCCTATAAACCCCCACCCCTGAGACCTTTCCTTCTTGGAATTCTGAACAAGAGCAAGGAGAATGGAGGACGCTCACTCTCAGGGCACGACACACCCCTCAAAATTCAGAAGAAGAGCTGAGTCTTGTGGCTGAGGTCCTTAGTCTCTGTGTTCCAGCCTGCTAAGGGAGAAGGTAGAGTTCGAGGGGAGAATTCAGTTCAGTAGCCCGGCAGTAAATCGCTTGCCTAGCAAGCGATTCCAGGTGCAGAGCTCAATCCCCAGTTCCAAAAATAAACAAATAAATGGATTAATTTATTTATTAATTGATTTCAGAAGAGGTAGAAGGCAACTAGTGCTATTGAGTTTTCCAAAACAACACGTAGCAGTCGCTGCTGCCATCAGGCACCTGCGAGGAGCAGCTTTAGCTTGGAGATAAAGGGGCACTTAGGTTGCCTTCCGTCCTTGACAGAGTCCCATTGCAGTGTGGCCACTGTGTTCCTGTGTGTTGCCTGCTGGTGGCCTCACAGATCAGCTAGGTTCCCTCCCACCCTCAGCCCCCATGTGTCTCTTTTCCTTTCCCTCCTTTTCCTTCTTCCTAGATGGGTACCTCGGCAACAAGATCCTTTGCCACCAGGCTGTACTTGGGTGCATCTGTATGCCAAGCAGCCAGACTAGACAAGGAGGCTGGGGAAAGATGGGTGTTGTTTCTGTTCCTCCTTCAAACTCAGAAGTGCTCTGAAGATGTCTTGGAACCAGCGGCTTCACTCTGTGACGACGCCCCTTTGCCCACTTTGGCTGCCTCACTGTGACCCTCTTCCTATTAGCATTTTCTGAGATAGGATAGGGGACTGTTTGCCCCTGCAATGCTGGCTCCTGCCTCTCTCTGCCTCCCTCCCCCCCCCCCCCCCCCCCCTCCTCTCTCTCTCTGGTAAAAACACTTGCCCTTCTTCACACACTTAATTGCTGTTTTCATAGCTATTAACACTGCCGAGTGTGACACTTTATTATAATTAAGACTCTGTTTTGACCAGACTTCTGCCTGGAGACATCTATTTGTGACATTATTGAGAGGTGGGGTAGCAGAGGCCAGGCGCTCTTCTGAAGCTCCTTCCCTGAGGGCCCCTGTGTTATCTGGGGTTGCCTGAGGCCAAGGCAGTGAATTTCCTTGAGGTCTCAAGGGTACAGATGAGAGACAAAGAACCCTTCCAGCCATAGTGCTTGGGCTCTGGGGCATCAGTGGTGATAACTGTGCCTGAGCTATGGACCAGGGCATGCACCTGAGCCCGGCCTTTTTGTCCCCAAAGCCCAGCCAGGTCTGATCCTATTCCCACAGAGGGGACCCGTCTGCCTCTACTGTCGTCACTTCAATGCACAGCTTCATTGCCCTTTGCCTGGAAGCCTTTTGTTTCCTCAGAGGCCCCCATTAAGATGCAAATGTCTCCAGGACCCATGGAACACTGTCAGCTAACACAAGACATGACAGATGACATTTGGTTGACGGATGGTCTGAGAGAGTGTCTGGAGATGGGATTCCTGATAGATGGTTTGCTTGGTGTGTGTGTGTGTGTGTGTGTGTGTGTGTGTGTGTGTGTGTGTGTGTAACCATGAATACAAGTTTGCTACTCAGCACTGGGAAACTCTAATGACTCCAGAGCAGGTTGTTGGGGCAAGGAAAGAAATCCTGAACATCAACAAAATCGTCTTGCCTTGGGTTTGCAGACTAGCATAGGGAAACATGAGGATACTTGAAGTAAATGGACTTCAAGATAAGAACCACCAATGGTCTTCCCTGATGTGTGGACTGCTGTTCGCTGTAATAACTGGCTGTTTGGGATTCTGTAAATTTGAAGGAAAGTTACTGATAAGAAAGTCTCTGCCAAGTATGGTGGGACACACATGTAACCCCAGCCCTAGGGAGGTAGAGGCCAGAGATCAGGGTTCAAGGCCAGGCTCATCTATTTAATGAGTTGGAGATCAGCCTGGTCTATGTGAGACGCTGTCTCAAAAAACAAAAACCAAACCAAACAAAACGAATCTGTGACTCCTATTTTTTGGAACTCCGTTACCCAGGAGATGTTAATGCTGCAGCTAATTATTATAAAATAGAAAGCGCTGTTTCCTCCAAAGAATGGGGAAGGTGGCAAAGGGCTACATTGCTGGAAGACCCTGGGGGATAGAGGAAAACCACTTCTCCTGGAGGACCAGAGACATGCAACAGCAGTCAGGCTAGAAAGTGAAACACAATTTTCACACAGCAGGGTGGCTTCATTCAGAGTGTCACTTGGAGCAAAGCCAGTGTGAAGCCAGCAACACATCGATGGCTGCAGAGTCTCCCAAATTAATGACTTTGGAATCAACTAAAGGGTGTGGACGTAGAAGCTTATTTAAGCTCCCAGTAAGTAATGTGTGCATTTGTGTTGATGTGTGTCTGTATGTGTATCTATGTGTGTGCGTGCGCATTCATATACGTGTATGTGGGTGCGTGTGTGCACATGTGTTTTGAAAGTGACGAAACAGAAAGGCAAGTAATAGATGGGGAAATTATCAAGATCTGGGTATAAGTCATAGGCAGTCTCTGAAGGTTGCAGACCAAGAGTGACACGGTTTGATGGTGAAAGAAAGCCCAGGAAGGAAGGAAGAATTCCAGGCAGGGAGACCTGTTCTGGGAGGATGGTGAGCCCACGCACCTGTTAGTGCTCAGTTATAACCAAGGACACACAAGATAGTGAAGTGTAGCTCCGGTCCCCAAAAGGAGCCATCCTGATGGCAGGGGCTGAGGAGGGAGGTGACCAGGCCCCTGAATAAGAGCCAGCAGTCAAGCTGGGCTGGTGGCTGAGGATCAAAAGATGCAGGGACTGTGAGAGGACCTGCACAAAGAGGCAGAAATGTCACCAAGTGCTTATGTACACCACCAGTCACTGCTCAGTTCCCCAAGGCATTCTCTGGAATTCTGGAGGTCCAGGGAACTTGCGGATGAAGTGTGGCTTGGAGGGACCACGAACACTGAGAAAGTCTGACATCTCCTCTAAAGTGATTTCCTACTTTGAAACAATGCTGGCACTCCAAGGCAGGGTCTCCACTGAAGGAGTGGGGTGGAGAGCAGACCTGAATGCAGACAGAACCCAGCAGCATTGGGGTGTCCAGCAGGAGGGTGAAGGGCCTCCATGTCAGATGGAGCAGAGGTTCACCTTGCCCTGGAGGTGGAAGTCAGGAAAAACAGCTGTGATCTCCCCACTGCCACTGAAGTTACCTGGACCCAGAAGGCACTGTATGGTGGTCAGAGGAGCAGCATCCCTGGGATGTCCACAAATGGCAAGGTGTCACTTATCAGGATGGATGGGATGCTTTATGCCATCTACAGTAGCTCCTCTGACCTAAGGTTCACCCTCCTGTTAGTTCTCATTCCCCATCTTTGGGCTCTAGAAACTAGGTAGTGTCCACCTCACGGAAGGCTCCTTCTGACCCTGCAACCCAGCTACTTGCCGCCAACTACTGCAGGGCTTCACTTTCTAACCCTGCATCCACCCTTTTCCTGGCTAGTCTGAGAGCATCACACCTTATCCAAGGGTCATGGTGGCTCACTCAGGTGCCATCAGGACTGAGACCAGCTTGGGTTCCATGACTCTATTTCTTCTTTACAAGTCCTATGACCTTTGCAATCCCTTTCCTTTTAATGATTCTAAGAACAAAAAGAGATGGGAGCCCTTTGCCCAGTGCCATTCTGTCTTTTCATGGGTCTTGTTGCTGGGTAATCTAGATCACTTCCTAGAGCCACCAGGCACACAGGTATCTGACTGTCTCTCCCAGAATCCCCCAAATAGTGGTTCTTGCTATACACTGCAACACCAGGGAAGTTCTTCTTTAAGTTTCTCCGGCATCTGCCTGGATGCCTCTTAAGTCCCCAGTAGGTTTTCCTGCCTCAGGCCAGCCAAGGAACAGCAGGTCACTCAGCATCCTCCACACACAGAAGAGCAGCACACAGAGAACCATCTCTCCGTTGCTCTCGCTCCCCATGCCACATCGATTTTCAGTCACTCTCCAGTCGAACTTGCGAGAATTATTAGTTCTTTGTGTTCTGCTTTCCCAGTCCAAACTGAGACTTCTCACCTTGTGATTTCCCCTCTTATTTATTTTTTAAACCTGTCCAGACTTGTTATAAATGGTCGGTGGAATTTCCTCCAGCCAGTTTATGCTTTAGTCCTGAGGCAACACTTAGTGTTCTTGACTTGGAGAACTCGAATAAAAAAAAAAAAATGGTGGAGGCCAGGGAATGAGTCCTCTGATTCATGGGATCCCTGGAGGGCCCCGCTGTTTTGATTGAGTAGGTTTGTGTTGATTTCCCTTGCCACTCTCAGAATTTTCTCCCAGGTAATAAAGCAGCTGAGCATGGGTGAGGGAAGGTAGCAATGCTTGTCTGGCCACTGGAAGCCACTCTAGCTTGCTTTGGTGATGTGTGGTCACCTAGCTCACTCTTGTCTCAACCTTCAGCCCCTCTCTCCTCCTCCCCCAGAGGATGTATCTTCCTGGTTCAGTTCTGCTCAGATTTGGATTCAGTTCCATTCACACCATTCTCCAAGTATCCTTCACCTTAGAAAAAAATGGAGGAGGTAGCTGGAAGGGTGGTGGGTGGGTCTGGAAGTCACCCCAAAGTAGTGGCTAATCCATTTTCCCTAGGGGTGAGGCTACTGGGGCCTGGCATGACAGAGGTTGTGAGCCTGTGGCTTCTCTCCCCTCTGGGTTGCAGGAAGTGGACATTTACACTGTGAAGACGGAAGAGCTGAGCTTCACATCTGCCTTCTGCCTGCAGATACAGCGCAACGACTACGTCCATGCCCTCGTCACCTATTTTAATATCGAATTTACCAAGTGCCACAAGAAAATGGGCTTTTCTACAGGTGAGCTCTCCACTGGTTTTCTATCGCTCTCCCTCAGTGTTTTCTTGAGGCTTATGGGTGGAAACCAGGGCTGGCCTTAACTTGGACAGACATCAGTTTGGGCTCTGATTTGGCATCTCCATCTGATGAGAGGATGCAGTCTCCACTCTGTTGAGTTCCCAAGGAGAGGGTAAGCATGGTAGGGGTAGAACTTCGAGAGATGAGAGCTGGCATGGTGCCACCAGGAACTCACTCTGTCCTCCCCTTTGTTCTTCTATCCTTGTGATATAGTGACAGGATATAAGCTGAGCTCATTACAAAACAGCAAGAGGTACTTTTGAGGGTGAGAGTAGCCTGTGACCAAAGGGACCATTGTGAAGGAAGACACTTTGGAGGGGCAAGCATGGACAGTGCTCAGGGAGACCATCATGCTAGCTTAGATACTTAGATCTACCTCAAGCTGCTCCTTGCGTTTGAATGTTCATGTGTTGTCACTTGTGTGAGCACATGAGTATGGAGCTGTTCTTGTTTGTTTTCTGCTGCTGTGATAAATGCCATGGCCAAAACAACTTGGGGAGGAAACTTGGGGTTTATTTAATCCTACAGCTTATTGTTTATCACTGAGGGAAGCCCAGGCAAGAACACAGAGACAGGAACCCAAGGAACACTGCTTTTTTGTTTACTCTCAGGTTCACATTTACACACACACACACACACACACACACACACACACACACACACCATCAATTAACAATGAAGAAAATACCTCATAGACATGCCCACAGGCCAATCAGATGGAGGCAATTTCTGGAAGTTCAGAATATCATGTCTTCATGATATTCTGGGGCCAGAGATAAACCTATATCTCATTGTTTTGACTAATAGTCCAAGTCTTGCTGTCTTCATTCCTGGGTTTACAAGCTGCTGATTAGGAAGGAGGGCTCATCCCCATTCACCCTCACCCTGCTCATATATAATGCCCGACTTAACGCTGGGCGAGGGCAAGGTAGGAGACATGGACTGGGTAAGGAGATTCCCTTTTGAAAATTTTAATTGATTAATATTATGATGTGTGTTGTGAATCATGAATGTGTGTGAGGGCTGGCTTGTGCATGTGGAGGCCAGAAGACAACATTTTGGAGTTGATTCTCTCCTTCTACCTTTGTGTGGGTTCCAGGGACCAAACTCAGGTCATTAGGCTTATATGGCAAGGATCTGCTGTTCCTTCTCACTGTGCCTGTCCTCTGGAGATTTTAAATATAGGTTTGTCTGATTATCATTTGTGAAAATATTCTGTGTGAGGGACAAGAAGAGCGTGGAGTTCCCGATAGAAGCCCTTTCTGGCCCCAGAACAACCTTTAGGCACAAGTGGGAGGTGTGTGCAGAGGTGGTAACCTCTATGCAAGACCACACATCTCTGTGTCTGTCTGGGCTATGAACTGGCCTCTCTCTTTCCTTCCTGCTTTTCCCACCTGCATCCATGCATCATTAAGTCTGTGGTTATGTTCCCAGAAGATGACTTTGACTATTATCTTTGTCTGCTTTCTGGTGCTATAGCATAACATTTGAGTAGGGGTAACATAGGAAGGGTAGAAATTTATTTGGCTCAAGCTTCTGGAGGTTGGCAAGTCCAAAAACATGGTGCTGGCATTAGCTTGGCATCTCATGAGGGTTCTGTGCTGCATTGTAACATGGCAGAGGGTGCCAGAGGAGAGACCAAGAAAGCCTGAGAGAGCTCCCCTAGACAGTAGCCCTCTCCTGTGATGTGATGGTTGAATAAGAATGGCCCCTAGAGGCTCATATATTTGAATGCTTAATCCTCAGGGAGTGAGTGGAACTTTTGGGGAAGGATTAGGAGGTGTGGCCTTGCTGGAGGAGCGTCACTGAGATTGAACTTGGAGCTTTCAAAAGCTCATACCAGGACCAGTCTGTCTTTCCTTCTGTCTGCCATCTGTGGATCAGGATGCAAAGCTCTGCTACTGCCCTAGCCCCCTGCCTGTCTGCTTTCCTCCATAATGGTCATGGACTCATCCCTGCAACCATAAGCAAGCCCCCGACTAAATGCTTCCTTTTGTAAGAGTTAAGAGCTAGAGTTGCCATGGTCATGGTGTCTCTTCACAGCAATAGAACGGTAACTAAGACACGTGATAACCCACAGGTTCATCCATCCGTGAGTGGATTTGTATATCACAAGGATAGACCCAATAACTCCTACCCCCCCAAAAGATTTCAGCTCTCAACATCGATGAACTCACTGAAGACCACATTTCCAACACACGAGCTTTGGGAGACACATTCAAGCCATGTCCTCTGTCTAGTCTGCCTTGAGGGGTGCCTCACTGCCGTTGGGCCTGGCAGGGGAGGGCTCCATGGCTTGGTCCTAGCCCTCTAGTGGGTCCTCAGACTTCTCCTTGATAGGCATGCCCAAGCTCTTTCCCATCACTCCCACCCACAGGACAGCCACTGTAAGCAACCTCCCGTGCCTTAGGCTCAGGGGACTTCATCCCTGGGCCATTGTTTCTGCATGTTCCTTTGGGATGTGACCCAGGAACAGGAGGGTCCTTTATCAGGGGGCTCTTATTACCCCTTTCTTTCTGTAATGGTCTGCTTGAGCTTCCAGGACAGAGGTCCAGAGGCTGACTGCTCTCCATATGAGTTCCTTCCTGGAAACTGTGAATGTGCCCTCAGGGGATGAGTAGGTGTGCTAGTGGCAGGAGGAATGTCCTAGCAGATATAACCACTTATTTCTTAGATATGTGGGGACAGAGATGCCCTTTTTCCTGTCGACAGGAGGCAGGAGCTTTTTTAGGCATATCCACCAGGCCAGGTGTGGATCTCTGTGAGTTTGAGGCCAACCTGGTCTACACAGTGATTTCCAGAGCAGCCAAGGATACAGAATGAGGCCTTGTCTCAAAGCAAACAAACAAGCAAAAAAAAAAATCTTGTCCAAATTCCAGAAAGTCTCCTAGATCTAATGCACAGCCTCTGACTACAAAGACTGATATCTCATCGACTTTATCATCTAGGCCAGACTGGTGCTCTCTTGGCCCTGGGAAAAACCAGAGTTCTCCCTGATCTGAGCCATTGCTGAGGGCATCCCTCCTTCAAGGGTCAGTAGGTGAGCTGAGCTCTTTTTCCCAGTGGGCTGGAGCACTCTGGAGGCAGATGCCAGATTCTTCTTGAACTTGAAGGATAAAGGGGATACAGTCTGGTCATGGAGAGGGGAGGGTAGTAGTCAGGGAGCCATAGTATCTAGCCCTGTCTCATCCATCTCCCAACAATGATAGCTCAGACCCTGCCCTGTGGGTGATGTGAGAGCCAGTGGCAATGGCACACTGGAAAAAGCTGTGGGTGTCTAAAGCCTGGCTCCTGACCCATGACTCTTACTAAGGCTTAATCTTTCCTTAAAGTGATTGACTTCTGGTCCCAGCAGCCAACTGAACTTCTGTCTAGAGTTGATCCCCTAGCTCTGTGGTGGCAGACTTGACCTTCTGATGGCCCTATGAGGAGGAGTCTTGGTTAAAGTTCAGCCCAGACTCAAAGCTGTTGCTTCTGGGCTTCCTGAAAGTGGCAAGGGCTTGAAGTATCTAACCCCAGGCTCAGTCCCCTGTCTGTTGACCATTTCCCTACCATTCCCCTACTCAAGCTGAAAGCCTGTGGTAAATCCAGGAGGAAGGCTCTCCTGTCTTTGAGTCATTAGCAAGCCATATTCCCTCTTCTTTGCACAGAACTCCACACAGCTGGGCTCAAGAAGGATGTTTGTAGGACTTAAAATCTTTGATCTTCATGTCTGGGCACAGTGATTCTCAAGGTCTGTGGACAATAGCCTCAGCATCCCTTGGATCCAGGAAGGCCTCACCCTAGAACCACAAATTCAGAAACTCTGAGGGTAGCCCAGCCTTCTGTGCCTTGGCACAACCTCTAGGTGGACATGCTTCCTACTCAAGTCTGAGAAGCCCTACCCCCAGGGAAGACCATCTTGAACTAGACAGTTGAGAATTCAGCTGAGCCTGACTCCCTTTTGGTAGGGCAAGCTCATCTCCTCACCAAGGCATGCCCTCTAAACTCACCAAGTCTTACGTGGTTTGTAAACTCTTACGCTGCTTGCTGAGAACCAGAGGAAACAATACGGTTGGTTAGTCTCTTAGCCCTCTTGTGGGGTTAGCACTAGTTTAGTCTGTCAAAGACTTTACTGGACCATGTGAACTTGGCAGTGGATTCTGCTCGGAGTCTTCACTCTGGCCACTGGCAGAATAATTTTTTTTTATTTTTAGGCTCATGAGTGCATAGAATTTGATAAATCCCAATGTTTGGTTCAAGACATACTGTCACGGCTTGAAAACCTATGCATGATTCACGTTGGGCTTATTTGTTTGTTAATATAATGAGTACTCATGAACTTACCACCTAACTCAATAACTAGGATGGAGATGAATTATTAACTAGAATGGAACTAAATTATTAACTACAATGCAAAGAGTAGCTGGAAACAAATTTATTATTATTTCTGTTGGAATGTAAGTTGTTGAGCAATACTTAATTAAAATATAAATAGCAGCTAAAATGGATGATGAATAAATGATATATGGTTATATTTATAATTAATAAATGTAAATAAACTAATTTGTATTCACAGAAGAGCTCCCTGTGAGCCCACCTCAGAACTTAGTGGCTTAGATGCTATTGGTATCTCTGAAATTTTTATCTAAATGTCCTATTTCTAGCTATCCCGCCCCTGAGGCACTATCCTAAATTAAGTATTCCTATGTCCTGGCTATGGTTAAAAAGAGTTTTCATACAACCATGCATGTGCAAAAAAACCAAGCTATTGGTTGTGGGAGTTTGTGGAAGCATTCCTGCCCTCCCCGGCAGGTGCCTCTCCCTGCTGGTGCCCCACTGAGTTTTCCATCTCAGACTCTGTGCAGCCAGCTCTGGGGGGTCCACTCAAAAACGCAAATCACATATTGTGTAACTTGCAAATGCTGCTGTTAATGGTTCTGGCTGCTTTACAGCATCAGGCAGAAGCATCCAAGGTTCCAGGCTCTGCCAGCCAGGGGCACAGCTGTCCCTGTCCTGTTGATCTCATCCTCTGTGAGGGTGGGAGGAGATGCTGCCATGCAGTCCAGGAAAGATGTGAGGTGGTGGAAGGCGGTGGCCCTAAGGGAAGCTGGCTTCAAATATCCAGTTTTTCCAAGGTAGGATGACAATCACCAGAGATGCCCTTGAGCTTGTGACTTTGTGGGTCTCAGGCAGCCTCTTTCCCAATTTGTCATCCCATGGCACTGAGTCATTTTGCAGGTTAAAGAAGCCTCTGTGCATGGTCTTTAATTTCCAAGAAGCTCACTAGGCAAATGCAGCTCTAAGTGCATAGCTAGAAAACTTACAAAGAAATACTAACTGCTTCACCGCTTGGAAGTGAAACAGGAAGCTGAGTTCTCTTCCCCAAAGCACAGGAGGATAATTTCACCAGAGGCCCCTCCCAATGGCTCACATGGCTCCCTGTGTTTCCACTCTTCACCCAGGATCATAGCTCCCACGGTGCTGCTTGCACCTTCCCCTGCTTGCCCGGTGGTCTTCTAAGGGTGTAGGATCTACAGGAGGGATGAGGGTGGGGATGCAGAGCTGTGTTCATCTTGGGCGTTGTTGGACAAATTCAGAGCCACATCTGGCACACAACTAATCCTTTGAATGCATGTTCTTATACTTGCAGTGTTGCATTCAGTATTGGTCATACTCAGCCTAAATGTAGACTGAAGATCATCTGTAATCTAGAACTTGGGAGGCTGGGGTCCAGAATATTCCCAAGAGGAGCTCATTGTCATAATGACTGAAAGCTGTGCCATCCTGGGTGGTGGGTCAGGACTGGGAAGGAAGGAAAACCTAGTCATTGATAAAGAAGGCTGTCTGTAGACATCATCCGCAGCTCTGAATGCCTGGTAGAATGTGAGTGCCGCCCCGTGCATTGCAGAATTCCAGATGCAACTCAGGAACTCGCCGGAGTGTATATCTTTGCAGGTATCCCTCAGTTTACGGATGGGTACTTCCGCACCAGTTCACGTAATGAATCACTACCAGCTGCCACAGCTTAGCAGTCCCCTAATGTGGTTTTGTTCTAACTAATAGGTTGTAAGTGGGGTGTCCATATGATTCAGCTTTCACTTAAGGATGCCTTGGCAAGCAAAAGGGTGAGCTAGTGGTGACTGTGCTTGGTGAACAGACGTGAACTGTGCCCCCAGGCACAGAGGGATGTTGTCACCCTTTATGATCCACCCCCGCCCCCACCGCTGCCGCCCCTTACAATACTTGAGGGGATAAATAGCATGACCTATAGTCCATGTGGTGGCACAGGACTTCCAGGGTCACAGTACAAACCTGTGGCAAAAAAGAATCCAGCACTCGGGAGGCAGAGGCAAGCAGATCTATGTGAGTTCGAGACCAGCCTGGTCTAAAAGAGCTAGTTCCAGGAGAATGCAAGAAAAGGCAGCCATGGGCGCAGATACTATGTCTTAGCATGTCTGTGTACCACCTCCCTAGAACTGAATTAGAAATGCAAACTGAAGCAGGACCAAGCTTCTATATTCTACTATTTGTACTGGGCACAGTGGAAAACTCAGATGAGAAAACACGTTGAGACAGTTAGGCCGTGGCTACCGGTCCCACTTTGGAAATGATGTTTGGAAAATCTTTTGAGACAGTATTCCTCCCACCCAGGGATGGAAAGAATGTTTTGAGGCCATTCACTGAAGAAGGCCAGCTGGCCTCCCTGGCATGCAGAGCTAAGCCAGTGAAGCTCAGGCCCTCACCTGATCTCTGACCTGGTGATAGAGGAGGCAGCTCGAATCCCCTCAGCTGAAGGTCTTTAGGAATGGGAGAGACACCTGTCTGAGTGGGTGGAGGTGGAGATGGAGGCGAGCATGCTGTCAGTCACACTCCGGCTTTGCATTCTGCATACACAGCCAGAATTTGTCTTTTGACGGTTTATTTAGAGGTAATTGGCAGGAAGCCTGGTGAGAGCAGGTGGTCTGTAGACAGCAGCATGCTTTGTAGGCTGGGTTAGCACTAGGTGGGCTTGAGGCCTCAGGGTCTACAAGGCACAGGCTGTGCTATCTCAGCCCTCCTTCCCCCTCCAGATACCCAGGCTGTGCTTTCTCCTGTGACCTTGAGTTTTCATTGATTTCCAAATGTGCACACTGAAGGCTGTCCTAGTCTCTGCCTAACCACTGACATCTGATCAAGCCAGCTCCCTGCAAACAAGGGGTGGGGGAGGCCACTTGGCTGTTGTTAAAATAGATCTTGGGGTTTTGAAAGATATTTGAGGTCATAACTGTATGAGTTGGCGCATGACAACTGAGCTCACTGTGAGTGGTGTCCTCAACACCTCTTCGAGGAACAAAACAACTCAGTCCCCATGGTTGTAAGACAGCTCCAATTCCTCCTGCAGGTGCACAATTGACCCCGAGTAATTGCCCAAGCCACATGTAAGGCAGAATCTCCCACATAAACAGTCTTCAATGTGTTTGAAGGGCCCTTATGTCCTTCCCAAGTCTTGTGGCTGTTAGCATTGGTTTTCGGCAAGAAGGAAAGTCCACTGGGGGAAGACAAGGGCCTAAGCCAAGAGGAGCTCAGCCTAAAGTGAGTCTTCTGTAGTCATAGGCTTCAGCTGAACATCTTCCAGCATATCACACATCACAAGATGCCGTGCTTTGGGCTCTTGACACTGTCCACTTATCAGTGTCCACTTGGCACTCGACTCGGTGCTTCCAGATTGAATTTGGTGAGAGCTAAGCATCCTTAAAGCCAGGCTGGCCTGGCCCCACTCCCTAGGAGCCTGCAGAGGATGTAAACAAGTGAGGGGGAGGCATTTGCTCTGAGGTATGCTAGACATTGTCATGACACCAATTCTGGATGCCCTTGGAGCACCGGATCCAGGTTAGAGTGGTCCAGGAAGGCTAGCCTTGAAGGATGAGGGTGGAGTGGATGGGGAGGGGAGTGCTCCAGAGGCAGTCACTGCTGAAGAAAAGGACTGCATCCCAAGACACAGGGGCCCTCCCAGTTAGCTGCAGACTACATGGGGTCCAGTGACAAATACTGGGGAGGTGCAAGCATCACGATGGCCTTGAACCATGCGGGAGGGGTAATCCTTTGGAGTAAGAATCCCCTTCTTTCTGGTCCTGTTGGGCAGGCACAGCTGGAACCTAACTAACAGCAGGACAGGGCCAGGGTGCTGGGTACAGCCACAGGGCAAACTCCTAGGCAAGGGAAGCTGTTGGAGGGATGGAGGAGTAATGAGGGGTGATGGTAAAGCTGAGAGACTGGCTGAGCTTCTGAGTTTGCATGCACGAGGTCATGCATCACATGCATGACATCTGCACCACAAATGGTGCGGATAGGATAGGATGGTTTCCTCTCTACACCTCACACCCTGAGTCCCTACTGCACTAACCCCGGGGCTTAGGGAGGAGGCACATTTATGCTAATGGGGTTAGCTGCTCAGGGGCTTTCAGCTACCAGGTGCTCCCTGGTAGGAGGCTGCCTCTCTTCTGACCCCTCACTAAGGTCACCAGCTCAGTAGGGCTGGGACCCTGATGGGAGGAAGGGCATTGGGCCTGAGTCAGGGGTTCTGGGGCTTGAACTAGACACCCGACCCCTTGAGTGGTGGTGTATGTTGGTGACACAAGAAACCCCAAGACCAAGTTCCCAGCACAGAGGAGATTTATTTGCCCCAGAGGGAGATGGAGGACAAGGGGAAAGAGGAAGGAACAAGGGAGTGGGGGCAGAGGTATTTGCCCCAGAGAGCAAAGGGATGGCCTCTGGAGACAGAGGAGACAGATGTGGCACACAGGCAAATGACAGGTGATAGAGAGAAAGGGAGACCCAGCGCCAGGATGAGTTGTTTCATTTTAATCGTGCATGTTAATTAGGTGAGCCACAGGGGACTTTTGATCGCCGGGCTTCCATGCTTTGATAGCTGGACCTTGGTAGTCAGCCTCAGGAGGAAGAAGTGGCCAAATAAGGGAATGGACCTTGGCATCTAGCTTTAGGACTGTGACCTAAGGGTTTAGCAAGACAGAGGGAATGGGGGAAGAGCAAGACCTGCCAGAGCCACATCTCTCATGCTCAGGCCTGTGTTTGCCAAGCTCGGGCCTACTAGAGCCCTTCGCCCTGCAAAGCTCGGGACGTCTGTGCGTGTCCTGGGCCTCTTGTTGTTGACTCTTTTTCATGTCTGATTCTTTCTTCTTCCCCTTTTCATGTTCCTTCCCAGCCCCCGATGCCCCCTACACCCATTGGAAGCAGACCGTCTTCTACTTGGAAGACTACCTCACTGTCCGGAGGGGGGAGGAAATCTACGGGACCATATCCATGAAGCCAAATGCCAAAAACGTGGTGAGTTTGAGGGAGCCCTGCATGTCCAGGACCACTGAGGAGGAGGGACACATGGAGTGGCTGACTCCCGGCGGCCTCCCGGAAGTCACCTGCCCACTCTAATGTCTTATGTCCAAATGGAAAAGCTTCTTGGGGAGGCAGACAGCAGCTGTGTTTGCATGTGACCAGGCCTAATTGGATGACCTCAATGTTGAGTCTTTCAAACCCCAGTGACTAGAGGCTTTCTGGACTCTGAACTCAACCTTGAGGACAGCTCTCAGAAGCCCACAGGAGAGCCTTTGAGAACGGATGTTGTATAAATGGGCTCTGCCTCATTTAGGGTGAGCTGAGCCAGTAAATGCAAGTGTCTGGTATAGAGGCAATGTTTGTTGGGCGTTTCTCCAGCCAGCCTGGTGGGACCTTCCTGAAGTGTCCCTATATCTCATCTCCACAGACACTGAAAGTCTGCAGGGAGGTTGAGGGTGATGTCGAGCCAGACCCAGCACCAACCTGGACGAAAGAAATCCTGGGACTGCTTTCGTGTGAGGGCAGGAAGGCTTAGGTTAGATGTCACAGCCCTTCCTGTGAGGAACCAGAATGATAATGGGGAGCCAGAATGGATTTCTGAGGACTGTCCATGGAGACTCCTTAGTTAGAAAAGCCACGGCTGCCTATCCCTATGGCTCCAGGAGAATTCCTATGCCTGGGAAAGGTTGTGATCTCCTACCCAGACTCATACTGTGGCCCTTTGCTCTTTCTTCACAGAGAGACCTCGATTTCACAGTAGACTTGGATTTTAAGGGACAGCTGTGTGAAACATCTGTATCTAATGACTACAAGATGCGTTAGCACATGTGGGGAGCTGCAGAGAGCGAGCAAGAAGAGGCACTCACTTCCGTCTGCCACGCTGCCCCAAGGAATACTGTTAGGAGGACCACACTCGACAACCAGAGCTTTCCACTCTGCCTTGAAGATCGGTGAACTTGCCAGGGCTCTCCTGGGCCTCACCATGACAGGGAGCCTCCAGCTCCTCCACTCCGCCCCTGGAGCCCTTCACAGAGGCTTTGTTGTTGCCCGTTGTGCTGTGGTGGGGGCTCCGAGGATGGAAGCATACCCATGTGCCCCCATTGTCCTCCTAAACTGACTCTATGGATCTTCCAAGTTTTGCATGCTGCAGACATCTAGGACAGACTACTTCCACTAGAACCTGGAGACATAGTGTCTTTGATAGCATAAGCCAGATTTTCTGTCTGTGCAGTGGTGTGTGTGTGTGTGTGTGTGTGTGTGTGTGTGTGTGTGAGTGAGTGCGTGTGTGCGTGTGTGTGCGCATGCACACATACAAGTGTGCGTGCATACAGCATATACATTCATTTACCTGCCCACAAACATCTGTATATGCATGCATATACAACAAAGTGGGCGCACTTGGGTGTTCATTCTGAGGGGTGTGTGCGCTGGTGTGTGTGAGCGTGAGTGTGGGTATGGGTGTGCCTAGAATCTATATTACTCTCAGAGGAGGTTCTGTTGCTTTTGAATAGGAATTTGTTTCGTGATTAGTTTCCCCCATCCCGATCCCTTAACAGATGTTATGCAGCTATGAAACATTCTGTGTACTAGCTCTGGTCTCGTTTTTTGACTAGACTGTGGCTCTGAATCCTGAGCACAGTACCACGGGCTCTGCGGGCGCTCAATAAACACACATGAGAACGAAGCATTATGGGGTACCTGTATTCCTGATGCTATGGGGGGAAGGATGGGTGCAGGGGGTTGGAGCGGGTAGTAGGAAGCCACAATGGGGCAGAAAATTGTGGGGGTGCAGCCCCTGCTTTTGTTTATGTTTCCTCATTGGAAATGAGTCTCATGGACGAAGCAGCTGGGAAGTTGAGTTAGTCTTAGCACACCTTTCTGTAGATTGCCTAGGACCTGCCATGAGGGGCAAGCGGGTCCTGCAGCTGTGGAGGTGAGGGTGCTGGGGAGGGAGAGAGGAACTGACCAGTAGTGCTATGCATATAGCCAGGAAGCTACTTATAGTCTGAAGGCCCTTGTCTGAGTATGGAAACAGAATTTCCCCAGGATAGAAACCCAGTGTTCTGTGTCAGACTTAGTGGGATACTTGGTCTTTGGTTTCTAGATTAGTCTTTGACCTCTGGACTATCATCTGTGTTGTCTCCCATGGGAGAGACATTCCAAGTGCTGGGAAGGAAAGGGTCCATTGAAAGATGGAGTCCATTGTGGAGTGACGGCGCCCAGGAGGGGTCAGATGTAGAGGGACCTTGGACTTGGTTGTGCATGGGAGAGGCATGATGGTAACAGATTGTTCCATGTGGAGCTGCTGAAATAGAATGAGTTACAGGAGGTGGTGACAGGGACAACATATCCCAGCAAGACCTGACTCCATGACAGGCTCCCACAGCCTTTTCTAGGACCCCAGTCTTCCGTCCCCTGAGTGCTCTTCAGAGGGATTTTAATATTTTTCTCTACTTTCATAAAAACCAACCTAGAGAGACTGTCTATGTAGACAGGACCTCCCCTGCATAAAGTCTGTGGAGAGTCCTCTGCTAATGACAAACAAACCCAATGGCAGTCTCTTTTGTTTCTAGAACTCTCTTTTATGAATTTTGTCAACTTCCCCAAAGCCTTGGAGATAGGTGCAAAAGCCTCACCGCCCACTTTGTAGCTGGCATTTATCAGGAGCTGGGGAGGGGCCATGATTACTTCCACATGCTCTTCCCTGCCCTGGGCTGACTCTTCAGAGCCTCGACATAAAGTGTGAGACTTTTGTTGTGTTTCGAAAACAATCAGTGAGAATTACATAACAATTTAATATGCATATGCCAGTCAAGGAAAACAGGGAAACTTATGGGATCTGCAAAGCCTTGAGTTAGAAAAAGAAATTTAATTGAAAAGGGACATTTGAGGACATTGGAGGACAATCTATTAGTGGGCTTCCATCACCAAGGTGCTTGGAGAGGTCCTGAGTTCTGCCTACTGCAAGGGGCCTAGCCTTGAATCTTGTTTAGAGGGGGGATGCTGCCAACAGGGAAAAGTCCAATGTTGCCAGAATCCATAGGACTCAATAGGATAACCATCTTGTGGGAGTTACAGGTATCTATGAGACCATTTCATCCTCTCCAGCTGGCAGAGAAGAGGGCCATCACAGACTTTCTCTGCCCCCTGTCCTCCTTTTCAGCCTCCTGGGTTGCCCCCGACCCTGTCCCATGGCCAGCACTCTCTGTCCATGGTCTTCACAAAGGATTAAAATGAAAACTGTTTTCCCTCCTGCTACTGGGAGACTCCAGTGGGCACTGTCCAAGTTTTTGTTTGGGTTTTGTTTTGTTTTGGTGTGGTTGTTTTTGTTTTGTTTTCTGATTCTGTGAGAATAAGCCATGTCTGCTTTGACTGTGTTCTGAGTAGAAGCCAAGGTCTAAGATACGGTCCTGGGGTAACAACAGTCCACCCCTCATCCAAACCCATAGCTTTTGTTGTTGCCAAGCTGCATAGAGCCTAATAGTGACCTTCTCTCCTATCATTCTTCTAGAGAACTTCCACAGATCCATAAGCATGGGTCTGCAGTGCCTCTTTTGCCATTGCATGTGGTGGATGTGGTCAAACATGGGCCACTGGGCATACTCTGAAGTCCAGGTTTAGAAGGTCTCTCTCTCTCTCTCTCTCTCTCTCTCTCTCTCTCTCTCTCTCTCTCTCTTTCTCCCAGCTAGACTATAGGCTCTGAGGGCTCTGAGGATGGGACTTCTGTGAATGAATAGAATAGAGAGCTGGGGCATCAGGAGTTGCAGAGCTTGGCAAACCCTCACTCCATGCAATGGTCCCATGGGCCTGTCCAGGCCCTTGGCCTTCCAGTTCCTCGAGATGCTGAAATTTTCTTTACTTTCATAAGCAAGATGGTCCATGGAGGCCATCTTCCCTGGAGACTATGGGCAGATAGATATAAAGCCTCTGCCAGGCACACCTAGTCTCCACCTTTATAGCTCTCCTCTCATGCTGCTCCATCTGTAGGCACTGCCTAGCTCCAGACCTCAGCAATGGCATGTGATGTCCCCAGGTATCTCAGCCCATCCACAGTGGCTGGAATATGGTCTGCCTTCAGAAAAACTCGGGTGGATGCTCGGTCCTTAGTGAGACAGTACCGCACGGTAGGTCTCAGGGGGACAGTTTCACTGTGGACTGCAGCCCCGTGAGTGGACTGTTGCTCTTCTGATGCCGTGAGTTCTCGCTCTCACCGAACTGGATGGTTATAATGGAGCTGGCTGATGGAAAGCAGGATGGGAGGATGGCCTCTCACACTTCATCCCACCCTCACCCATGCTTGTTTTCCTGCCGTCCTTATGAACTAAAGCAGCGTGAAGTCCTCACCAGCACCATAAACTGCCCAGCTTCCAAAACCACCAGCCAAAACAATCTCTCTCTTTCTCTCTTTGTCTCTCTCTGTCTCTCTGTGTGTCTCTCTGTGTGTCTCTCTGTGCGTCTCTGTCTCTCTCTGTCTCTCTCTCTCTCTGTCTGTCTCTCTGTCTCTGTCTCTCTCTCCATTATCCAGTCTCAAGTATTTTGTTATAGCAACAGAAAGGAACTCAGGTACCATCCCTGGGCCATGTTCAACTTGCCTGGAGTCCATCCCAGGCCTGGAGGCCAGTTTGAATCACTGGCATCTATCTGTCCTGTCTCGATCGTTTGCCTCAGCTGTGCCCCACCCCTACTCCCAGGTCTCAGAGTCTAAGACTCCTCTAATGTGTTCATAAAATATCTTTTTCTAAGATCCTCAACAAATTCCAGCTGGTTTACAAAACCTTCTTTCTAAAGGAATATTATTTTTAATTCTTACTACCTGTCTGTATGGGACCTTGAACGTCTACTCCTCAGATGTCTTGTTTCTGAGGACAGTCATACTTGGTTGTGGAGTGGGGGCACCCAAACTTGCTTTATACCCTTGGGATATCAACTATTGTACTAAATATGGGCCTCTAATCTTGTGACTTCCAAGAGAAACCTGACTTCTGGGTGTTATTGTCTGTATTTGGTCCCAAGCTTCCAAGGTCTCTGGCCGGAAGGAAGCCATCAGCTTATACTCAGCAATGACTCAGACACAGTGTATCCACTGTTTTATTCTCTTTGTGTGTGGGGGGTGCTGCCAACTAGATCCCAAATAAATACATGGAGACTCACTCTTACTTAAGAATGCCTGGCCTTAACTTCATTTGTTTCTAGCCAGTTTTTCTAACTTAACCTATCCTATTTCTCTTCTTCTATATTTTGCCTTTGGAATTTTTACCTTTTTATTCTGTAAACCGTTCTTTACTTCAGAGACTTCCTATGAGCTTGGGGCAGGGCCCAGTGGTTTAAGAGTGCCATCCAGTGAAGAGCAGGCGTGTTGACACATTCACTTGGCATTGGAATTCAGAACAGGCAGCTCTTCCCAGGGGAAATCTTCCCCTAGGCATATTTAGCTTCAGTTAATAATGTACTGAGTTTGCATACACAGGTTACTTGTGCTTTTTGATGCTCAGAGTTAGCAGCTTAGCACTCCATTCTGGAAGCAGGGCAGGGGCCAAGATGAGAACTGAATGCTGATTGGCCATACCAACCATGTAAGCCCTTGAGACAGTTTTGTCCAGTTTTAAAGGAGATAACCAGTCAATTTCCAACTGTCAAAAATTGCTGTCAACATAACAGAGGCAGATCCATATGATATTATGTGTCAGAAGAACTGGAAGATGAGAACCACATGCATCTACTCCATGACCAGGAAAGGCCATGAGGCCAGGGAAGAAGGGAGTGAGCCTCCTGGGGGACATTGGACAGGTAGAAAAAAATCAAAGCCTGGAGATATATGGACA